ACCGCTATTATATGTTCACTTTTAAGAGCGGTTAAAATATTAACCGCTCTTAAAAGTGACACATATATGATATTAAAAGTGACACATATATGATAGCGGTTTCACTTTAACCGCTCTTAAAAGTGACAAATATATGATAGTGGTCCACGTTAACCGTTTTTAACCGCTATTATAGAACATGTGGAACCGCTATTACATGTGTTTTCTGTTGTAGTGGGTTTCTTCGCTTGAGCAAGAGAGAAATAATCGATCATAATTTTGTATATTCGATTATTTTAAAATTATGTTCGATTAGTTCAAATTATAATCGATTATAAATTTCTTCGCTCAAGTGATGGATGTCTCGCTTGAGCGAGAATTGACCACGGTCCAACGCAGTTACCCAATCAATTCTCGCTCGAGCGAAGTAACTCATCGCTTGAGCGAGAATTGACCACAGGCTAAACGTCCAACGCAATTAGCCACATAACGCAACTTGGGTCACCACATATTTTAATCACTTCTCGCTCAAGCGAAAATACCCGTCGCTTGAGTGAGAATTGACCGGAGATTACCCCTTTGTTACAAATTTCCTCGCTCAAGCGAAGGGTTTCTTCGCTTGAGCGAGAATTGACCCGAGATTACCCCTTTGTTACAGATTTCCTCGCTCAAGCGAGGGGTTTCTTCGCTTGAGCGAGAATTGATTGCACGAAATAATCGCTCATAATATAAAATGTCGATTATTTTAATACGTAAACAGTAAAGAGTGTTAGTTGTGTAAATAATGTTCCAGATGTGTTATTTTGGGAAATATTTTTAAAAATAGTATTATTTATGAAAAAAAGTCTTTTATACTTTTTTTTCATAAATAATATTATTTTAAAATATATTTCTTAAAATAGAATTTTTATAATATTATTTATTTATCTAACATCATTCATCGTTTATGTTTAGAATTTGGTTATCGAAGAATTGAATTCTGAATTACCATTTTAAATTTTTATTTATTTTTTCAATCAGGATTTAGTATTTGAAGGATAATAATTCTAATTATTTATAAGTTTATAATTTAAATTTATATAATATATATAGTTTGAATTTAAGTTATATATATATATAATATTTTGAATATATTATATCTTTAACATTATGAAATTTTTATTTTTTATTTAATATTATATATATATATATATATATATAATTTATTATAAAAACGTAATTATATATTTATATTTTTTTAATTATAATTAATTATTTATAAATTATTTAATACAAAAATAAATAATAAAATTTAAACAAAATTTAAGTGAGGCCAAGAAGATATTTTTCATTAACTTTTAAGATTAATACATAAGGAAAAATTTGAAATGAAATAATAAAGATTAAAGCTTTAATCTTCATAGTGATGTCTAGTTCCACAACGAGGACGACGTCTATTACGTCCTGGATTTCTTCGTTGTTCCTGTTGAGGAAGATCTTCTTCTGCAGGGAGTTGGAGATTTTCGAACTGAATTGATGAAGTCCTTGGTTGATTGAGATCTTGTGGTTGGTACAGAGATCTCATATAAACAGCTGCTGAAGCTGGAGTTGCAAAATCAACTCCAAATAGGTTAGTCATCATTTCATCTGAACTTGCAGCAAAAGAATGTCTTCCTTGCATTTCTGGAGTTGGTGTGTGATATTGGGGATGTGCATGCTGATGAGGTTGAGGCTGCTGGTAAGAAGGTGTAGAACTTGTACCTGTTTTATAAGTGGAATGAGTTTGTTGCTTGTCTCTTGGGTCATGTAGTAGACGTGAGACATATAGAAAAATAATAGAATTGACACTATTTCATTCCATATATTCTGCACTGTGGAACAATGAGCCTGGAATTGGATGACCCATAATTGTGTGCTCACGTCTGTTATTCCAATAATCAATCCACTAAGCATGTCTTGTAACCCAGTTTTCGTCTTGCCGACCCCTCATATCAATTCGATGTAGTTTAGACAAGTTGTTGGGTTCAGATGGGACCTCTTGAAACAAGCCAAACTGGAGTTTGACTCTGTCTGCTTGATGTCATTCAACCATTGCAAAGCAGATGATAGCAGTGCATGCCGTCCAGATGGCTAAATCCCGAAATGCTTCATTAGGAATTTCTTGTTGAAGTTGTCTATAGGGAACCTATATGAACTACAAAAAAAAATGGTTTAATACTACATATTATGAACATAATTGTGAAATAAAATAATCAACTGAGGAAGTAACATATACCTGATGTGCTTGCATATGATCAAGCATTGATTTGTACCCCACAACATCATTGTGAGGTACATTGCGGAAGTTCAAAACTCTTCCTCCGCTCCAATTGCATACCAATGGGTATGTTGGTGTGACACTTGAAATGGGTGCAATAAATAACATTGAATGCCAAGTCCATGATTGTAAAAGCGATGCACAACCACCCATTGTTTTCGCCCTTGGATCTGTTGCTCTGCACATTTTTCTGTACAACATTGTGTTGTGCTTTTAGCAAACGTATCAATAGTCAATTGTAGTATAATGATTTTTAAGTGAAAGTGTCGATCCCACAATGATCGGGTTCAATTTAAATTAAATAATTTATCTCAAACAGCATATATACAAGGATATCTATTTGATTCATGATTGATAGTAATGATTTATACTAAATTTGCATGAAAATAATATAATGGCAATAGATTGATTAGAAAATATTCAAAGAAAGAAGTTGGGATTGAATTTCATCTATCTCACTCTTCTGTAATATGGGTGAATATAAACATATAGCATCTGAATTTATCAATATTAATGCAACACACAATAATCATTTATATTGAGTCCTTACGTATAAAATTTATAAGACCGGTTCCCTGGATATTGATTCCTACATATCCAACAAACTGTTCAACATTCTTTTCAAGTGTTAAAAGAAATTGATATATTGAAATCTATTCTTAGCATCACAATATATCAAGTATTTTTGTTTAGATCAGATTTTCAGAAATACTTTTCAGTCAAGTCTAAAAACCACATTCACGAATCTATTGATCAAATAGAATCAAGCATTAAGAGCAAAACAAAAATGCCAATGTTGAATAGAAACAGAAAAGCTATATATAGATATCACCATATTTCATTCGAGTTCAAATCGATTACATTCAATCCCAAAAGAAAATATTAGTCACTCATGATAGCCATTGACATCCTAAGAGAAGAAGAAAAACCCTAAAGCTAAAACTGGAGAATAATTTTCCCTAATATTGTCAAAAGTGGCGCACCCTATTTTTTCGTCTAAACCACAAAATATATATACTGCGTGAATTCTCGCTTAAGCTAAATTATTCTCTCTTAAGCCATAATGACTTTCAAATTGATTGCTCTCTGGACGAATCTCACTCAAGCTAGATAATTTCCGCTTGTGCGAGAATAGCTTTCAAATTGGTTGCTCTCTGGACGAATCTCGCTTAGGCGATACCATTCTAGCTTGAGCGAGTTGTGGTAGGATTTCATGTATTTTTCCTCAGTTTATTCCATTCTTCTTTTTCTTTCAAGCCCCTTTCTCCTTCTCTCTTAATTTACCTGAAATATATACAAAATGAGGATCAAATGATTTTCTTTTTAATCAAAACTCAAAAATGTATGATTATATTTCATCATTCTTAAATTAGGGGAAATTGATACCAACTATACACAAATTGAAACAACAGTGACATCATTCCATATGAAAATTTACTACTTTTTGATATTTATCAACTCCCCCCAACCTAGCCTCTTGCTTGCTCTCAAGCAAAGAAATAAGATCCCAAACAGCTTTTCAAAACTCAAACGTTGAAATTGGTTATTGAGAGATCATTTTCATAGTTCCTCCAGGACGACTTTGCATTCCAAAGTATAGATTCAAAATTAGAAGCAACTGTTGAATTCAATTGTCAAATAGAAACAAGATAAAAGTGTAGCAAATGTATCAAGACAAACAATTGTAAGAACCATTGATTCTAATTAAGGAAATTCTCTCTTAAATCTCACAAGTATGTGTTTCTCTCATTTCCACTGAAATTGAACAAATCAAAATTGCCAGTTATTTTCAATCAAACCACAAACACACAATCAACATGAATCTTAAGGTCTTTTAAGGGTTGTAATGAGGTTGGACTTCAAAAAATTATGATTTTTTTAGATAACAAAAGCACAACTTAAGAAAAGAGAGCATAACCACAATTTAGACCCACTTCTATTTCTACTCTCAATTCATAACACCTCATGCCTCAAATACAATGTTCTTTCTTTTTTATTCATAATTCACTCCCTCTTCTCTTTCTTTTTTTTTTTTTTTTAATACTTTCTAGTATATACATTTCTATATAATACTAAGGAGTGAATTATAGTACAAAATACTCAGCCCCTTTCTTTCCTCAATACAATTTCACCAACCAATTCCCATTTTACCGTTGAATAAAATGCACCTATGCTCTTTATCCCTAAGTGTGCAAAGGGAAAGGATAATAATTAAAGTTAGGGTTAGGGTGCATAATTCAAAACAATTAGGCTCAAATGGGCTATCACAAAAAGATTATTATTTCTTTAAGTTGGCTTTTTGGCACTGAGTTATTTACATTAAACAAAATTGCCTTAATCATTTCCATGCTTCTAGTGTAATTTTATCCAAATGAAAACTCAAGCAATATTAACTTGACAACAAACAGTGGAAACTCTCAAGTTGTTTATGGATTCACACACTCACTGGGTTTTCTGGTTTCTTTCCTTGACATATCACTTATTGTTACAATTGATTATCTCGACCAATTATCCAACACTAGTATCACAATCCCATTTAATTATAGATTCAACCAAAATTTTCCTCTTTCTCCTCTGTGCTCAGTTTACTCAGTTGTTCTAATTTAAGACACTTACTGAAACTTGATTTCTCTTTAACTAATTTCCTCAAGAAAGATTTTCTAATGATTCCCAAAAAATTTTGTTGTTTATGTATTATGTCCAAAATATTAAGCACAAAGTAAAGTTAAACAGTTAATTCTAACTAATTAGATAAGGTAGCAACATTCTAACAAAAACAACTAAAGCATAATATTACTAACTACAAAAGTTCAAAAGTACTTTAAAATAAAAAAATCAAACCGTATTTCATAGAGTTCTGGAGGGTGGAATGGTGCTGTGAATCAATCTCCCCTCTCACTCCGTCAAAATCAGTCTGAAACTCCTCTTCCTGAAGGTCCACTCCAACTGTCTCTTCCCCAGCAGCAAGGTCATCTCTATCTACAGGTCTTGATGGTTCTTCACCTGTTGTGAATCCAGCTGCAACACAACTATTGCCAAGTCCACTCTCTCCTGAAAAAATTGGACTGTCCCCAGGTCACTTGAAAGGGAAATGGCCAAGAGAGGAAGAGATTGATGAGTTAATAGAGAGAATTGGGTGAGGAATCACGCGCCCTAAAATTTTGGGGGAAACTGCACTATGCTTGAGTGTTTTGGGGAGAAAGTGGGAGTGAAAACGCTTTCCCCTTTTTCAAATATGAAATTAGGATTTTTTTTTTAACTTTTGCCCAGGCAAACAGCTTTAGCTTAAGCCAAAATATTCCAGAGAGCACCTCAATTTTACCAAATTCTCTCTTAGGCGAAACAGCTTTAGCTTAAGCCAAAATATCAGCAAAATTGGTCATTCATTTTCTGCAGTTTCTCAAAAACAAAATTTTTGTCACTTTAGAAAAATATGGTCAACTACCACTCATTCAAATCATGTTGAATTCAGTCCAATTAACCCAAAACATATATCAAGCTAGTCCTCAACCAATTCTCTATCATTCCAAAACGTTTCACATCATCAAACTCAAATTTCATAATTTGATCAAAACAAGGAAAATTTTAACATTCAATGAACTCAATTTTGGCACCAAAATTTATTCTCATGCATAAAAAATAAACTTTGATTGAAAATTCCTGAGCATGCATGGTTTGATCAATTGAGATACTTAAATGCTAAAACTCACCCTTTTGTACACAAACACATTTAACACACACAAGGTAAAACTAAAATGTAAAAACATAATTAAAATTCTAGGTTGTCTCCCAGGAAGCGCTTGTTTAACGTCACGAGCCTGACGCCTGTATCATTATGGTTCGTCCAATTGGATGATTGTGGTAAGTCTATCAACCTCACCACCAAAGTAGGGCTTCAATCTTTGCCCATTTACAACCCAACTTCTTTTTTATTTAGGATCCTCTAACTCAATAGCCCCATAAGGTTTAACAACCTTGACAAGAAACGGTCCTGACCATTTTGATTTGAGTTTTCCAGGAAATAGCCTTAGCCTGGAATTGAACAGTAACACTGATTGGCCTAGATAAAATTCTCTCTTGAGAATTTTCTTGTCATGATACGCTTTCATCTTTTCCTTTTAGAGCTTAGAGGACTCATAAGAACTGAGTCTCATTTCTTCCAATTCTTGCAATTGTAATCTTCTTTTCTTTCCTGTTGCTTTTGAGTCAAAATTCAAAAATTTCAAGGCCCAAAATGCCTTATGCTCCAACTCGACCGGTAAGTGACATGACTTACCATACACCAACTGAAATGAGGATAGACTAGTAGGGGATTTATAAGTAGTTTTATAGGCCCACAAAGCATCATCCAACTTCATTGACCACTTCTTTCTTGAAGATGTCACTATTTTCTCTAGAATACGCTTGATTACCTTGTTTGACACCTCTGCTTGTCCATTGGTCTATGGATGATAAGGTGATGCAATTTTATGTTGAACTCCATAATGCTCCAAACATTTCTGAAGTTGAGCATTGCAAAAGTGTGAACCTCCATCACTAATCAACACTCTTGGGGTACCAAACCTGCAGAATATATTTCTTTTGAGAAATTTGATGATTGTTTTGGCATCAGCCTTAGAAGTTGCCACTACTTCAACCCATTTCGTCACAAAATCAACTACTACCAAAATATATTCATTGGAGAAAGAAGATGGTAGTGGTCCAACAAAATCGATTCCCCAACAATCAAAAGCTTCAACTTCCAAAATAATATTAAGAGGCATTTCATGTCTTTTTGAAATCCCCCCTATCCTTTGACAGCTATTGCATTGTTGAACATATTTATGTGTGTCTTTGAATAACGTAGGCCAATAAAAACCAAATTGAAGGACCTTTGCAGTTGTCCTCTCTCCATTAAAATGTCCACCATAAGGGGTGTCGCCACCGTCAAAACGAGGCGGTCGGAGCGACGCGATGGTTTTTCGACCCTCTCTTGCTTTCGCGTTTTTTATGGGTGGTTACAACGTCCTTAGGTTGTCCGATAACCGGGCTAACCTAGAGACGAGGTTTTCGAAAAGTGTTCTTGGGTTGTCCGATAACCGGGCTAACCCAAGAACGGGTTTTGAAGGGTTCGTGGAGTCGCCACCGATGTTTTTACCGGAAACATCGGAAAAGGAGTTTAAAAAGGCGTTGGTTTTCGAAAATCAACTTTGGTCATTAGAACCAGAGTTGGGTAAGGGAGTTGGTTACGTGTAAAGGAAGTGTTAGTTCCTTTACGACGCCCCTTTCGGGTTCCCTATGATAGGCCGACTACTTTGGATGAATAATTAAACTGGAAAATTGCGCTTTTACCCTTTTATTATGCGGTATTTAAAGATTATGACTACATGGCCCTAGCGTCTATTGCATAATTTTAAATGAAAGCGGTAAAATTAGAAAGAGAGAGGGTGCACCTCCAAAGCAAGCTTTTTGTATTTCTCTTTAAAGAGTGGGTGCTTTTTGGCAACCCTTCACTCTACAAACTCTCAGAAACTCCGGAAATGCCTCGGAGGGATTCTAAAGAAGATTTAGAAAGCTCAATTTATGCCTAGAGACACTCAGAAACTCCGGAAATGCTTCGGAGGGATTCTAGAGAGAGAATATCTAGAGAGAAGGAGGAGCTACTGTGCTTGGTGTGTGGAAATGAGGGGAGGGAGCCCCTATTTATAGGTTTTCGTGCCTGACAGTGGCGAGACCGCCGGTCTCGTCTGACAAGGTCGAGATCGCCGTCTGGACAATCCAGACCGCCGTCTCAACCATGCAGGGGTCGAGACCGCCGTCTGGAAAACCCAGACTGCCGTCTCGACCATGCAGGGGGCCGAGACCGCCGTCTGGACAAGCGAAACGGCGGTCTCGTCCCTGGCGTGAGGCGAGACGGCGGTCTGGTCTTCCCAGACGGCGGTCTCGTCCTTTCGAGGCGAGAAACCTTATTTTTCGGGCCAAAAACCCTCCTATCTTAGTACGGGGCCTAATAGTCTCTCCTAGTGGCTTGTTAGGCTTCAGCCAGTCTTCAAATAGGAAGCTTTCGACTTTATTCGAGGTCGGGCAAGATTTGGGGTCTACAGTGCCCCCCTTTACTCGACTGGTCGATCGCTGGCCTTTTGTGCCAAGGTGATCGACCGGAGGGTAAAGGAGTTGACCCTCTTGCCCGGTTTCCTTCGGACGTCCCGTCTTGTGGTGGATGATCCTCCGGGGAGATGTTGTATTTGTGCGCCTCGGGATACTACTTCGACGTAGCCGATCCCTTTGGTTGACACGTGGTAGAACCTCCGGATACTACTCCGACGTAGCCGATCCTTCGGTTGATGGGTATAAACCCCCATCAGTCGGTAGTTACAGATCTGTTGTGTGGGACCGGATGGGTATGAACCCCCATCAGCCGGTACGGTCACTGTGTGGGACCGGATGGGTATGATCCCCCATCGGGGTGGTACGGTCCGTTGTGTGGGACCGGATGGGTATGATCCCCCATCAGGGTGGTACGGTCCGTTGTGTGGGACCGGATGGGTATGATCCCCCCATCAGGGTGGTAGTGGCGGCTTACAGCTCAGGTGGCTCATGCGCCGTTTTAGGCACTCCTTGTGTGCTGGTTGATAGGTATAAACCCCCCATCAGGCTGGTAGTTACAGTCTGTTGTGTGGGATTGGATGGGTATGGACCCCCCATCAGGGTGGTACAGTTCACTCTGGTGAACTGGTGGTGGTGGCGTCTTACAGCTCAGGTGGCTCATGCGCCGTTGTTGAGATGTGTTCTATCTTTGTTTTTTGTCTTTTCTGGGAATTGTCGTCCGGTCTGTGCTGGGGATTCTGTTGGTGTTCGTCCAGCTTGTTGATTGCTGGGGATTCTTCGTTTTTGATCTTTTGTGGTGGTCATCCGACTTTGCTAGTTGTCGGGAAATTTTTGATAAGTGCCTCTTAGGTAGGCAGGAATCCTCTGGGGATTTGTTGATCTTGGTGACGCCTCTTGAGTAGGCGGATATCCATTGAGTTTTTGGTAATGCCTCTGAGTAGGCAGATGTTCCGTTTGGAGGTGAAGACTTTTGGTTTTGCTTTTTTCTTTGCCTCTGAATAGGCTAATGTTGCTTTTTTGCTTGCAAGGTTTTGCCTATGCGTTCCACTAGGGATATCCATGTTAGGTGATATAGGCAAGTAACTTTCTGAGGATATGCGTTTGAAGTTTTGCCTTTGCAGTAGGCTCTCTGGGGGTAAGTTTTTTGGCGATTTACTAGGGAGTTGGTTGACTCCTTGGGGATCTAATTTTGGTCGCCTTTTTGGGGAATGGAGTTGTGACTCCTTGTTTGGTGTCGATGAGAGCTGGTTTCTTCAAGCTCTTATTCCTCTGGAGTTTTTTGTTATTTTTGTTTACTGTGCCTCTGAGTAGGCGGATGCTTCATTAGTGGTGAAGACTTCATACTTGCTTACCTCCGAATAGGTTGATGTCCCTTTCTGGGGAAATTGGCTCTTGCTCGCCAGATCTTGCCTATGCCTAGGCAAATGACTCTTCTAAGGATGTGAGTCTAGAATTTTCCTTTGTCGTAGGCTCACTGGAGATAATTTTTCTCTTTTTGGTGATCCACCGGGGAATTGATTGCCTTCCCGGGGATCTAATTTTGATTTGCCCCCTGAGGGAATGAAGTTTTGACTCCTTAATTGATGTGGGTGTGAGCTGGCGTTTGTGATGCTCTTATTCTGTTGGGGGGAGTGGAATTTCTGTTTTCTCTTTTTTGTTCTTTTTCTGCGGTGACCCACTTTAAGGATTTGATTTCTTGGAAGTTAGGATTTTTATTTGATTTTGCCTTTTTCCACGATTTATCTCTTTTTTTATCGCGATTTTGAAATCTGGCTTTTTTATTGGGATAATGCATGCGCCTTGTTACTTTTTAGTTTCTTTTTATGCACGCAGGCTTTTCTTCTCTTTGGGGATCCGCAGGGGATAAAATTTTCTTAGGTGATCCATCAAGGGATTATTAACTTCCATGGGGATCCGATTTTTCTGGGATGGAGTCCTGGCTCCTTGATTAATGTTGATGTGAGCTGACCTTATGAAGCTCTTATTCTACTGAGGATGGAGATTTCCTTATTCATCCTTTTTTGTAGGGAGATCCACTTGGGGATTTTTATTCGACCTTCTCTGTTACGACCCTTTCTTTTGGATATCCGCTGGGGATGCAAGGGTTTTCTTCTTTTTTCTCTTTATGTTGAGCCCTTGATGGTATGGAGATCGGACTCTTTTGACTGTTGATGATGATGATGATGATGGGCTCTTGGAGCCTTTATTCTCCGTTGGGGAGTGTGGAGGAGACTTTGGGTGAGTGTGCTCGATGACTCATGTGGTGATGCAGCTGAGTCGTGAGGTAATCTTTTTGTTTTGCCTCTGGAGTAGGCAAGGGTCCTTTTGGGGATGACTAAGCCTTTCCGTCGGCTTTTCTTTTATGATATCTGATGATTGTGCCCTCTTTTATTGGGTGATGTTTGGAGCTTTGGCTTCTGGAAGCTTCTGATGACGACTCACTCTTCTTTCTTGCGGGAGAGCACTGTGTGAAG